TCAGCGAGCTATAGAGAGGGCTATGCTCGAGATTTCTCTGCGTGATAAACTTAGAAATGAGGATATCCGCAGTAGAACCAGAGTGACCGACATAGCCTAACGGATTAATAATCTGAAGTGGCAATGAGCCGGCCATATAGCTCGAAGAACCGATAACCGATGGGGAAGAAAGGTTCTCGAGTGGCAACTTCGTACCGGTAGGCGTAGTGTAGAGCAACCCCCCACTAGATGCAGTGACGACCTGATAAGACATGCGGGAATTTGATGGATGCAGGTGGCTCAGGACCGTGCTTTGTGGCGTACCTTGGAGGAGGCCTATGTTCAGCAGTGGACTTGTGAAGGGCTGTAATGATGAATGATGATTGAACTAAGGGGGTTTATTTGAATAAACGTTTGTCCTTCTGTCCGCGCTAATCTTTGGTACGCCTGAACCGATTGTGATGAAACTTTACGAACTGATAGACAGCAACGCAAAGAGTCGTCTAGGCTGCTAGCTATTTTATCCGCAAAACTTGTTAAACTCTTAAATCGCGAAACTCTTAAATCTATACACGACGACGGGGCGGATCGCTAGTTTATTTTTTTATAGTATAAGTAATTAAAAATATAAATAAGGGTGACAAACGATGACCTGATGGTAAGTGGATGCTGTGGCCCATAGACGTTCACATTTATCCTCAAATAAGAATCAAAATGCAAATGCGTTGTCACCCCTGAGGACTAAAATGGAATTCGTCTTGATTCCAGTTAAAAGGGTTTCCGGTTTTCTACACTTACTATACGAAACACAGCACTACGCTGCTGTTTTACGCTGGTATTCTGTGAGAGCGTGGTCCTGCCCCGGTCGAGCCGACTCATTTGTGCTACAACTACATAAACGTAAAAAATACATATAAATAAATAAAATTGAAACGTCTATCTGTAATATTAAAATAGCTGACTTCCATTGTACTTAGAAGGCTATTTGCAAGCTAGTAAGATATAAATAACCATTTTAAAATCTGTCAGTCTGTCCGTCCGGGCCCATCATCACGGTGGCTAACCCGATTGTGATGAAAATACGAACAGACAGAGTGGTTGCGCCAAAAACGCATATTTTGTAGACTATGTTAGCTGGTATCCTTTCCCCTTTACTTCCATATCCTTTGCGGTACGGGCACACTAATAGGAGGCCAGATAAGTGGCATCATTTTGTACGTCCAATAAGACGCGTTGGCCGTGAAGTGAAAGGTTGGAAACACGCCACCGGCCGGCCAGTTGTTGTCGACGTACCGCCGCCACGCCATCATAGTTGAAGACCAACGCTAGTTGTGATTGCACCTCTGTGGCAGTCGGCCACAGATCAATCTAGAAGTAACCACCTCGCATCGTGCAAGTTACCATCGCGCACCACCGCTCTTCTAACGCATCACAATACTAGGAGCGTCGTCCTCGAGGCCGCCGGTATAAGGAATGCTCCTTAGATTGTCTTGAGCTGTTTATTTTCTTTACTATGTTCTCTTTCTCCTAACGACTCAAGTAGAATTCCATCTCGGGACACTGACTAAATAATAGATTGGGTGATAGAGAGTGCATCGACCAAGACTGCCACATATAGCGATTATAGCGAACGATTATAGCGAGTTATAGCGAACCACGCATACAGTCCACCAAGAAAATCGATCCCGCATAATAAATAATAAAAATAAGGTTTGGGATCGACCCGGGAATCGAACCCGAGACCCTATCGCCGCTCATTTTCTGGTCATTAGCGCGACCACAGAGAGGAATGCCAGGAGAGATCTAGGCTACATTTTATTAAAACCCTTAAAGGTTTTTATTGAAAAAAAAAAAACAAATTGATAAAATATATATATGGTCTTTGATTACGATAAATCAAATTAAATTTAGTTAAAGCACGTTACGAGATCCTATCCAGGCGAAGCCGGTGGGATCGTTAGTACCAAATGAAACATGAGCAACTGCGAAAATGCTTACGACACCTGATTTAGGTAAAATACAAATTTAGTCGTTTCGTCTCAGATTTTTCACAAAGTCTGCTTTACTTAAAAACGTTACAGTGTACTGAGTGTAGGATCCTATTTAAAGCTGTTGAAGCCCATCGGAAAAATTATTCGAGGCCCTATTGAGGCCAGAACAATATATACAATAATAATGTAATATAATACCTATGGTATGGTATACAATAATAAAATATATAAATACATGTTCAAAAAGAAAAATACATTAATTTCTCTTATCGTGCCGTTTTTAAACTGTTCGTTGTTCATCACAGTGTAATTTACATTGAGAAAAATTAAACCATTCTATTAAAGTTTTAGATCATCATTTATTTTTCATTGTTAAATTGTTCATCGGTAACTTTTACCTAAAAAGTTATTTAGTTGCCAAGCCCATATGGTTATGAATCTCCACTAAATTTTCGGGGCTTTCTTTATGAAAGGCTAAGCTCATGGCCTGTATTGATTGATATTATTATCTAGAACCCTCAAAGCCTTATTCTTGAGTTTTATGAGTAATCCAAATTATTAATTATTAGTATTATGACCATAGAATATACTGGCGTATTAAGACAACCATTACGTTTATGGTAATCTATGGTAAACGAGTAAACGTTTCCATAGCAACTGATTGACAAACAGCTGAAGTAAAGAGGGATACGATATGTAAGTAGTTTTTTAACATAATCATCTTTATAATATTTAATCATCATCGACATGATCATTATCTTTGCGATATTTCACGAATCGTCAACAATTTTAAAATTACCTGATGGACATCTAAGAAGTGCCGACTGGCTTGCAGGCAATAATAGCAGGAAATGACTTTCAACACATGAAAATTATTTCCTCAAAGCCAGTAGCTGGAGTTAAAACGTAGTGATTATATGATAGACTTATTATACTACTGCGTATATAGTCTTTGGGTGGGATCTCGAACAAAGAGCCCCCGTTGTAATATCAGTAAAGTTAACCAATACACATACAACCTCAAGGTGTGAAGTAAAATTTTGAGTACCTACCTATATTAGATGGAATTTTCATCGTTAGTTTGTTGGTCACAAAAATGTCGAATTTCCCTTGTGGTGGCTGCGTAAGAATCCTTCACCCATATTCCTCCTGTAGCTGCCGTAACAGATATGGAGATAACGTCCAAATTTTCTACACTGGTGCCTTAGAGTATACATAACCACTACGTTTATGTATGTATACCCTAAGATTTGCGCTATTATAATGCCACAAAAAATGTACGAGCTATCACAGAGACTCTTGTGACCGCCTGAAGTAACGATAAAATTGGAGGGTCTAGGTTGCAATATCATAATCATCATCATAATTATTACAGCCTAGAATATTTCTTTACCGTGTAGTGGCGACGTAGGAATATTCACTATTTCATATCCTCTCGTGGGTGTCGTAAGACGCGACAGAGGGAAACAAAACCAGGAGATAGGATCTTTTTGATAACAACTAAGTAATAAAAAAATGCGGTTTTCTGTCTGTCAAGGGTGGCAACTAGCATTCATGAATTAATTTATTATGAGTACAGGTATTCTTTATTAAATTACTACACTATATAAGAATCTGACGCCGTGTGGTGATATATGATCTCCCTAATTCGTTGTGTGGACATTGTAAATGGCGACATTTTGGTAATGAGGGCTAATAACCTTATGATCACCAGATGTCGCTAGTTGGAACTAAGGTGAACTTATATGTCACGCAGATGGTCACAAGGTGTCATCATCTTTGAAAAGTTGCTTTGTAAATAAACGTTTTTCAGTTTATACTGTATATATAGGGAACGTATATATACAAAATAATGCCTCGGTGTTGTATTCTTTAATTTTTAATTTTGCACATTTGTAACTCTTTTTTTTAATTATTCTACTTTAGGAATTTCTACTAATACTTGTTGAACAAGAACATTATCTCTAAATTATTTTATACATACACGATGTAAAAGCGTCTATTCCGCAAAATACAACACCAAACCAAATTAAATATGTCCACCGGGTTTGTGATAAGATCTGATAAGTTAGTAAGATACCAAGTCTATGCCATAGTGTTCTGTGGTCTATGCTGCACTATTCTAAGAAATTAACTTGCACTGCTATGAAGTGTATGTGTGTAAACTAGTGGATGCCATCATTGGGTGTATGGTCTCCCGAAATATACTTAACATTCATCCGCGATTAAAAATCTAAACGAAAATGTCTTGTCACTGTTTTTATGTCAAGCTAGAGACCGCGCCTTTGTTTGTTGTTTTTTTTTTCATAAAACCGAAATTACAAGTCGGCATACAGTCTACCTGACAGTAAGTGACTACTGCAGCCTGCAGTAGCCACTGACATCTGCAACCAGCCTTAAACAAAGAATCACTTGTCAATGGGTGCGTTTGGCAGAAAAAAGCGCTAGCAAGCGCTTGTAAGCAAAATGGCGATCGTAAGCGGTAAGCGCTGTCAAATCGTGACACGATGTTAGTTTTAACCGGGGAACCTAACCTAATTTAAATATATTAAAAAACTTACCAATCATGAATTTTTAATAACATGTACATATATGATTATTCATGTCATTATATTACTTAAAACTATTATTGCACAAAACAACTTATAAACTCTACTTCAAAACAAACAAATTAAATAAGCAAAATGGCGGATTGTGTCAGCGCTACTGAAGTAGCAATCGTGTCCTGGCCGAAAATTATTTCAGCGCTTATAAGCGCTTGCTAGCGCTGTTTTCTGCAAAACGCACCCAATAAATTTATATCCAAGCTCGAAAGTACCAGTGCAAAAGTTTCAGATACAAAAATTCATTCTGTGTAGATCAAATCAAAATAACGATGATGGGGTCGCAAGTCAATCGCAACGTCAGAAGTCAACAATAAATTATTTATACGTGGTAAAATCTGAAAAGTTAGTTTTATTCAACGTTTTCGCGTAAATCTAAGGAATAATTAATTCTGTCATTCCAGAAACTAGAAAGAGAATTTGCAAGATGCCTGAGTTAATCGAACAAATGTACTGCTCCCAGCAGATCGTCATTCCGCCTAAATTTCCGTACATTCTGAAACGCTACTGCAAGGGTTAGTTATGTATATTGCGATGTGAATTTATTGAATTGATCTATATTGATACTTACACAATTCAGTGAAACGAATCTTTAATCGTCAAAACGAAGCCCATGTTTACCACCAGAGTTACACAACTGCACTGCTGGCCCCTCCGGACTTCGGAAATAAAGTCCAAATTTTCTGCAGTGGAGCTATTATAATACCACAAGCGTACGAGCTCATACAGAGGCACTCTGTAACCTGAAGTATGATAAAATCTGAAGGGCTATTTTGCAATATGAGAAATACGGAGATATTCATCATCATTATCATCATCATCGTTAACCCATTTTACAAGTTCGCTACTGTATACAGGGTTACTGGTAACTCGACGTATTCCCGCCAAGGCGTGATAGTTGGGGTCATAACCTATCAAATGAACCATAAAATGCATTATGCAAATGTGGACCAATTGCGAGATATTTAGGTTTAATTATTTTTTTCAAAAATCCCAAAAGTCTGGTGTCATCATCATCATCATCATCATTACAGCCCTTCACAAGTCCACTGCTGAACATAAGGCCTCCCCCAAGTAATGCCACAAAGCACGGTCCTGAGCCACCTGCATCCATCGACTTTCTGCATGTCTTACCAGGTCGTCACTCCATCTAGTGGGGGGTCGCCCTGCACTACGCCTACCAGTACGAGGCTGCCACTCGAGAACCTTTCTTCCCCATCGGTTATCGGTTCTTCGAGCTATATGGCCGGCCCATTGCCACTTCAGCTTACTAATCCGTTGGGCTATGTCGGTCACTCTGGTTTTACTGCGGATATCCTCATTTCTGAGACTATCACGCAGTGAAACTCCGAGCATAGCCCTCTCCATAGCTTGCTGAGCGACCTTGAGCGTCCTCATACGGCCAGCGGTGAATGACCACGTCTCAGATCCGTAAGTCATCACTGGCAACACGCACTGGTTATACACTTTAGTTTTCAGAGATTGAGGTATACCTGACGGGAAGATGTGTCGTAATTTCCCGAACGCTGCCCAGCCGAGTTGACGGATTCAACTCGGCTGGGCTAGATTGACCTCTCGGTCGAAGTTGACTTACCTAGTCGGACTATTTGTCCCAGGTAAACGTACTCGTCAACAACTTCGAGCTTAGTACTCCCAACAACTACCGGCATAGGTGTGACATGGACATTAAACATGATCTTTGTTTTGTCCATGTTCATCTTAAGACCTATCCGTTGGGTGACACCATTGAGGTCATTGAGCATAGTGCTAAGGTCCTCCAGCGATTCTGCCATAAGGACTATATCGTCGGCAAATCGAAGGTGAGTTATGTACTCGCCATTGATGTTAATACCGTATCCTTTCCAGTCCAGTAGCTTGAAAACGTCTTCCAACGCAGCAGTGAAGAGTTTCGGGGATATAACATCACCCTGTCTTACACCTCTCTGCAGTTGGATAGGTTTCGAACTCTGGTTCCGTACTCGGATAGCCATCGTAGCCCTGCTGTACAAACACTTCAGCACTTCGATATACTGAAAGTCAACTTGGCACCGCTGAAGGGACTGTAGCACCGCCCAAATTTCGACGGAATCGAAGGCTTTCTCATAGTCCACATATGCCAGGCAAAGTGGCAGATTGTCTTCTGTACAATCTGCCGCAGGGTATGTATGTGGTCTATGGTACTGAAACCTTTTCGGAAACCTGCTTGTTCGGTAGGCTGGAAGTCGTCGAGTCTGCGTGCGAGACGATTTGTAATGACTCTCGAAAACAGCACGTAGACGCGGCTCAGAAGGGAAATCGGTCTGTAGTTCTTCAAGAGAGCGTTGTCGCCTTTCTTAAACAACAAGACCACCGCGCTTCTGCTCCACGCCTCCGGAGTAGTGCCACCATGGAGGGCGGAATTGAAGTCTGGTGTCAAAAATTTCTAAAAAAAAACTTACAGCTGTATTATTTTCATTTTATTATTTTTATTTAATGAAAACCTGGATACTTACTTATCAATACTAGTGTGCAAAAAGTCTCATCATTTTTGAAGTAACGCTACTAAAAGTACAACTTTTTCCAAACAGAAGATAAGTAATTAAAAATAAAAATGATTTTGACACATTTGCATAATGCATTTTATGGTTCATTTGATAGGTTATGACCCCAACTATCACGCCTTGGCGGGAATACGTCGAGTTACCAGTGACCCTGTATAGATCTCCTCAAATAATATCACAATCACGGTCCTGAGCCACCTGTATCTATCGACTCCCTGCATGTCTTACCAGGTCATCACTCCATTCATCTATAGTAATATTATTGACGAGGTACAGTCACGATGCGGTAGTACTGAGGCAATAGCACGAATCGGTGGGTTGTGGATGATAGATACTTTCACATAATACAACGTGAGAATACCAGCTTAATGCTGTTGTTACCTATGGTGAGTATAGCGAGCCGTTTTTTAGTCGATGTTCATAGGGCTGCCTAAGACCATGCAGGGACCTTGGAGCACGCAAAGGTAAGGAGCCTTTAAGAAGTAAAAAATATAACTAGTCTATCTTTCCGTCCGAATACAATCTGGACGTCTTCAAGGCAAGATTGAATAGACTTTTGTTACGCTAAGACAGTGCGATTTACCATCTAAACCTGCATCATCACTTACCACCAGATGGGATTTGGTCAAGCACTGACTTATTAAAAGAAAAATCTTATGTTTTATTTTCATATTATGTATGTGGTTGTGGTTTAAGAACTTTATTCTCATTAAGAATACAAAAATTCACTTATCATGAGAACATGAAAATTTTTAAGTTATAACAATATCTGGAGAAACACAGAAGTTGGGGGTACATTACAAATACATACAGTTAAAAACAGTCACAAAATCAGAGAGAGATACAATCACAGATATATATATTGAACTACGCTCAACAATTTACAAGAAGCGCCTTGAGATACATATTTAGTAATATTTTATTCTAATTCGAATTAGTAATGAACAATAAAAAAAAACTTTATACCTTATTTGCACCTTTTTAAATATATTTAAAATACTTATTGATTATTATTAATATTTTTAACTTAATAGTAAGTATCACCTTCTTATATCATCTTATTTATTTTTTCATACGCATTGCGAGAAACGAATGTGTTTAAATTATATTAAATTGAAATATAATACAAACATGCGTCAACATTTCGGGGGCTCTGTCAGTGCGGCCCTGGGCTTGTGCCCTTAAGATAAAGACATAACTGGCTGTTCTGTTTAAGAGTACTCTGCATTTGTGAACATTACAGCGGCAATAAAGACGCAGCCATACGATTTACTGCGCTGGTCATACGAGTATTTCAAGGCACTGGCGCAGCATCGCCCTCCTCCGGTCAAGCTACGTCTAGAGTACCCCGTGTATCATACCGAGGGCGGTCTCACTAGAGGATGCCTGAAAGTTTTGGCGCTACAGGTTTGTAATTATTAGATGGAACTATTTTTTTAATTGGATATTTTTTTATTTTTTTGTACGGTGTTCCAGTCCTATGCATTCTGTATCTCAAACGCATTATTACTATTTTCATGTTGACCAATAAATTACTTAACGAAAGCGATACAAAGACACATTATACACAAAATAAAATGTTGACTGGTACAGAATGCCATAAGGCATTGAATCCGACCTTCATATCCCTTATTTTAGGTGTGTAATAAATAAATAAAGATCCCATTTCATAGTAACTGATGTATTGAATCCTATACTTTTAAACGAGCAATTCTTGTAATGTAATCGGAATCTCGGAAACGGCTCCAACGATTTTCATAAAATTTAGTGTCCAGGGAGTTTCGGGGGCAATAAATCGATCTAGCTAGGATTTATTTTTAGAAAATGTCTTTTTTCCGTGTTTTTAGGCAATGAAAAACTGCTACAACATCTACATACATATTATATTATATACATACATATTATATTATATACATACTATATTATACACTAGCTTTTTACCCGCGGCTTCGCTCGCATAGGTTTTTATTTAGCAAACCTGTAGAGTCGAACAGCCTACACATGTATATCAGACATAAACATCTAACGCTCGCTCGATCAAGATACACATGTGTACCACAAGTACTACCCTTTGAAAAAAGAATTTTTTTTAATTAAAACAAAACCAAAGACACTATGCAATAGATAATAGTATCAAAGACAAAGATATGCTCTTTTATTTTAAACCATAACCTGGCAATGTTTCTTAGAAAAAAAAAAAGAAATCACTCTGAACTTTCGGCGTTCCACGTGTCGCTTTGATGAAGGTGCTCCGTCTTTTTTTATAGAATTTTATATTTGTGTCTGGACTAAAAACGAGAGTATTATACTTTTTTATATTCCTTGTAATATAGTAAACACGTAGATATATAATTTGTGGTATAAAAAGTGAAAAGTAAATTGCCAAAAGTACTTCGAAATACGGAACGCCCATTTTGGCGGTTGGGTCATAAATGTGTTATTTTTCCAATTCTCATTTATTTTTAGTGTAAAATGTAAGTGAAAATAGTTTTCTTACATATTTCAAATAACTTGACGTTGTATTTATTTCAAATTCACACAAAAATATTTTTGAAATATTGTTCGAAATGTCATACAGATAAATATTATAATTTTTTTTTATTTTTTTTATATTTTAATATTTTGGTATGAGTAACGAATAGAAACAAATAAAACATAAAAATATACATATTTCCACAAACATTTTCATATAAATTTCTCCAAAAACAAAAGTGTAGAATTCAAATTAGTAGTAATTTTGGCACTAAAAGTGAAGTATATACTACTACTATGCTATAAAGGGTAATTTATGAATTTTATTATAATTTCTAGCAACCAAAATAATTTTATTCGATAGTTTATACATTCAACAAGAATTCCTGTAAGTTTTATCCATAAATATTGTCTCAAAGTGAAAATATAGCAAAATTTGCTAATTTGCAAATTTTCCCGCCATTACGGTCCCGAGCGAACGGGAGTATAACATGTCGCGCGCTGTCCGAGCTTACAGAAGGTAAATTTTGACAGTTCATTAATAATTACAAATAGCTTAATTGGTATATTGGGCGGTCACAAAATCGTAGTACCATGGTTCGAGCCCACATAGTCCGACTTTTTTAAAATTTTTTTTTTCAAGTTCCTTTCTTTTTTTGTGAAAATCTATTTTTTCGAGCCCTTTTTTTTAGTATTTTTTTAAAAACACGAAAATTTTAATTAAACTAATTGCACTCATGATTTTTTATTCAAATAACCAGTTCAGTTTTTTCTATTATGTCGCTAAGATCAAAAAGTATTATTCGTATTTCATCGCTATGTAATTTGTATCTAAATATAATTTCCAAAACACACGAATTAAAAAAAAAACCGAGCGAAAAATACCGAGCAAAGCTCGGTCAACCGGGTACTATTTCTTTAATCGTCATAAACTTGCCTTTTAAATGCCGGTCAACATATTCCTGGTTTTGTAAGTAAAGTTTTACGAAATGAAAATTCAATTACATAATATTAATAAATAATACTGAATATTTACTGAATGAATTGAGAACGTTATAAAAAAAACGCCAATATTTTACGCTTTTGTGCACATCAAATCAATTTTATATGCTAAAAGAAAACGTGCAGATAATATTAATAACTTGTGCAACATTACAATGACATTGATATTTTTATTTATTTACTCGCAAATCACACCAAAGTTGTGATCTCTTCATATTATTTTTACTTTTTTTCATTAAAAAATACTAATAATGTCATTGACATTCGTAATTAATAAACTACCGTTAGGGTGTTACATTCATCGATTGTCGATTGATGGCATCGATTGATCTTCGATCGATGGTATCGATCGATGGTGGAATAAATTAGTCGAACGTCGATCGATAATTTCGACCACACCAAAAATCGGTAGCATCGATCGATGGTAGAATATATTAGTCGACGTATACGGAGCTGCTTATTCGAGAACCCGCCCCGCTCCACCGACCTGTCCGTAATAATAATACGAGCTAGAGCTTGCTGGTCAACAATAACGCGTCTTCTTCTGAATACATTTTGAAACATACTAATTTCATAATAATTGTGGGCTCATGCCCACAACCGTATCGATTAATTGTTGATCGACGTCAATCGATGATTGAATAACTTTTTAACGACCAGTATCTATTGATTAGCTACAGCTAGCACACCGATCGATTGACACCGATCGACGTCGATCAATGGCATCGATGATCAACGATCGATAGATGGGCTGGTAATACCCTTAACCGCTACAAGGCTATAATTAAACTTAAAATGCTTTTGTAAGGAGTAGTTAATAAGACGACACATCGAAAAGGCTATCGTCGTACTGATCCGAGTGAACACATACATAATTTCTATAAAAACTTGACAAAATGCCGTAATAAGGTCTAAAATTGCGTAGCGCCCGGGACGATTAAAAGCGCTTAGAAATTATCAGAATCTTAAAATATTTTTTTAACAATTATTGATTCAAAATAATGAACAAGTAAATTATTAATATTGATGTTATAAATATATTTGAGTGATTCCCAAGTATATAGATTAAGTAATTTCGTTGTAATTTCAACTATAGTGATTTTTTAGAGGTGTTTTCGCAAATAATTATGATAGAGTCCAAATTATACAATCGTGTTTTTGAATAATCAAATTCAAGATAAAGACATGAATTTACCTATATCAAAATTCCACTTTCGTTAGTGGTGTCATAGTCCTATACTATTCGATGAAAGGAGGTGCATTTTTTCACGGTGTCGCCTTAATGAAAGTAGTTGTATATTGACTGATTTGAACCTAGGACTCTCCTAGTTTTAAGTCCGCAACCTTAATGGTAACTCTGCCGTTGTTCCTTGCAACTATATCTCATATTATTTCTGGGTATTTTAAAAATATATTTTTAAAAGTTAATATAACGTAACGTGTGTGACGGCTCCGTGGCGCAGTGGCTTAGCAATGAGTTGCAGCGCTAAAGGCCGCGGGTTCGAATCCCGCTCGGAACAAGTATTTGTAAGCTTCTATTTATTTGAACACTCTGTATATTATGTTTTTTAAAAGTCGATTTTGTAATAGTTGTCGGGCATGGAAGACGTCCCACTGACCGTACTTAAAGAAGCTTGGCGGGGTTTTTGTCTCGACTACGAGGAGTTGAAGAGGATAATGTGCCTCTGTGAAGTTTACCGGCGGGAGGACAGTGTACCCCTTCTGCATTTTATTGCAGTTGCTGGAGGACTGCTAACAAAGGTTGGTATTTTAAGCCTCTTCATCGGTCTTATTACAAAACGTGGTTTATTGATGGTCACACACAGTCACAATATTCGAGAAATTTGATTTTTGCCTTACCTTAGCCATATATCTCTTATATCTTTATCTCTTAGTCTTGCAGTTTTTGAAAATACGTGTAAATAAGCTTCCACTTTTATTTGACATTAACATACAAATTACATGTGATCTATGGGCAATAACATTTTTGCTTACCGATCGAGCCTTACGAATGTACGTGCGTAGTAAAATCAGTTAAAATAATGCATTACCACGCATATTAAATTTAAAAGATAAAAGGGCAGAATTTTTGAGATGTTTTTTTAATAAATTTTTCTTCACAATTTACCTATATTACTTATTCTGAACCTTTTCTGCTAATTTGGTCGGTTATTGCAAAATAACCCTGTATATAAAAACACAATTTACATTGAATAAAACTAAATTTACGGATTTTATCGCGTTTATTTCACTACTTTTACTTATTTTTAATTCCCGACGTTTCGGGTGCTTTACAGCAACCATGGTCACGGGGGGGGGGGGACTGAGATGTTTGACGTCCCAATGTCATTGTTAGCCCGGCTACCTTCAATTTTTGAATATTAATTTTTGGTCCGATTTACGCAAAACGAACTTACAGTATCTTGAAGTCTTGCGGTGGTATACTTGGGTTTGGGTTTAATTTTGTTAATTATATAGGATCCCAAGCAGATGGCAGAACCCAACCATCTTCTCTATTGAAATTAGGATGTTTTTTAATTTCAATAGCCTCGCGTATCATCCTTGGTAGGAATCGATGTTCTTTTGCGAGGACTTGTGGTTTATCAAATCTGATGTAATGGTGGGGACGATCTTGCACATGTTCACAGACTGCAGACTGACAGACAGACTTCCCGGAGCGTCGGTCTGTGTCTGCAGTCAGTCAGCAACCACTAGCAGTAGCCGGGCTAACAATGACATTGGGACGTTAAACATCTCAGTCCCCCCCGTGACCATGGTTGCTGTAAAGCACCCGAAACGTCGGGAATTAAAAATAAGTAAAAGTAGTGAAATAAACGCGATAAAATCCGTAAATTTAGTTTTATTCAATGTGTAGTGTTGGCGTAAATTTAAGAAATCATTACACAATTTACAGACATATTTACTGTTGCTGGCAAAATAATCTCAAAAGTTGCATAAAAAGCATAACCTTATTTCATTGTTACGAAAGCAGATAAGAAAAACTTCTTATTTTTTAATTTAAAAAGACAACCGCTTAGTCCGAAAACGAAATAAATATCTTGTCCTTTTAAAATAATTAATATTATTTTATTGCTGAGTAGTTAACTGACACGAAAACATTTATGTAAAATATTATTATTATTTTACAATATTTTGTAATGTTTTCAATATTTTTTTAAGGTCTTTTCTCACAAGTTAAGATATTTTTTCAAATTAAATCGAGAAATGGTCAGACGAGAAAGAATATGAAACATTTACTGCCTTATTTATGGGACGAATTCGGAACGAATAGATAGTAATCTGATATTTATTACAGAAGTGAAGAAACCGGATCATCATTGAATGTATCACGAAATCAACGATTTACGACATAGAACCTCTTATAGATCAAATGTGGATGAAGTTATTGCAATTTTTTTTAATTCAATATAATCCATTACTTTGAATTTACTATAAAAGCGTTTTGCAGACTCTAACGCATACGATGATCCTTCTTTGTGAAACCCTCACCAAAGAGCCTGACGGTGGATCAGCAGCAATCCCAGTGGAACACTTTCTGACAATGTACAAATTTCTGGCGAGCATGGACGCCTCCAAAGATATCAAGTACTTTAATGGATTTAGAGAAGGTACGGTATAATTATTGTGTTATTTGTATTAAAAATTGAACTATCAAAAAAATATAATGTTATAATTTTCTACTACTATGAAAGACGCCCTCTATTTAGAAAAAATATAATAGGCTAAGGTACTAATTGAAAGGTCATGAAAGAAACGGATGGAAAAATTTGGGATGTGCAAGCGAGATTTAGAAAGGGAATGAGGTGTACAGATAAAGTATTTTCCACGCGTATGATCGCGGAGAAGTTTTTGCCAAAAACCAAAAGGTTTTTTGTGCGTTTATGGTCTTGGAAAGGGCCTATGACAGAGTGGACAGGAATGTGCTATGAAAAACACTGAACTCATTTGAGTTAAGCGCTGGGTTGATACAGGCATTGAAGTCTCTTTATAGGGACTCTAGTGCTTGTGTTAGGATCAACGGCGTCTACTCGGACTGGTTTGGCATTTATAAAGGTGTCAGACAGGGCTGTGTGACTTCCCCGTGGCTGTTCCTATTCATGGACAGTTTTGGAAAATTTGAAAGTTGAAGAATGCGGATAAAGAATGGGTGAGTTAACTGTCAAATGCCTTTTGTACGCCAATGATCAAGTTATTCTTGCGTCGTCGGCGGCCGAGCTGCAAATGATGGTAACATTAATGAACAGATCATTAAAAGAAAGGGGTATGAAAGTTAACACTAGTAAGACGAAAGTTATGGTTTTTGAAAGAGAAGAAAGTAAACGATATGGCAAATAAGGAAAAACACTGAACTCATTTGAGTTAAGCACTGGGTTGATACAGGCATTGAAGTCTCTTTATAGGGACTCTAGTGCTTGTGTTAGGATCAACGGCGTCTACTCGGACTGGTTTGGCATCCAAAAAGGTGTCAGACAGGGCTGTGTGGCTTCCCCGTGGCTGTTCACATATTCATGGACAGTTCTTTGAAAAATTTGAACTTTGAAGAATGCGGATTAAGAATGGGTGAGTTAACTGTCAAATGCCTTTTGTACGCCAATGATCAAGTTATTCTTGCGTCGTCGGCGGCCGAGTTGCAAATGATGGTTACATTAATGAACAGATCGTTAAAAGAAAGGGGTATGAAAGTGAACGCAAGTAAGACGAAAGTTATGGTTTTTGAAAGAGAAGGAAGTAAAACGATATGTGAAATAAGAATAGAAGGGGAGTTGAGCAAGTAGAAGAGTTTGTATATTTGGCATGCGTATTTTGCAGTGATGGGAGATATGATAAGGGTATAGAACGACGAGTGAACGCAGGAAATAGAGTAAATGAGGCACTGCACTCTATTGTTAAGAGTCAGAATGTGTCAAAAATGACACGTATGGCAATTTACTGTGCTGTGTTGGTCCCTACTTTAACATATGGTAGTGAAAGTTGGGTGTAGCAGAAGAAGCACGAGAGTAGAATAAACGCAGTAGAAATGCGGTCGTTAAGGGAGTATGTTAGGGCTGAATCTGAATGACAGGGTGAGAAATTGTGTGATAAGAGAAGAGTGTGGTTTACAAGATGATGTTGTGACCAGGATTTAGAAAGGAATGCTTCGATGGTTTGGTTATGTGGAAAGAATGAATGAGGAAAGAGTGACACAGAGAATTTATGTTGCAGAAGTGAACGGCAGAGTCGGAAAAGGACGTCCTAGGCGAAAGTTTATCGACCAAATGGGCGATATATTGAAAATGGGCCAAATTAGGAGTACCCTTAGCCGACGAGCATGTATGCGTACATCCATATGGATGTGGAGGAGGCGAGAGAGGTGTGTCAGGATCGTGCCAAATGGAAGTCTGTAGTCTCTGCCTACCCCTATGGGTGACAAGCGTGAGTATTTATGTATGTTATGTATATCTTTGTGTTAAATTACCCATAAATATTTAACTATCTTTCAACTACAATAAATTGTTTGGGTAACTCCGGCAGTAAGTAAATGGTTGATATACCTACATAACGATATAAAATCATTAAAACATTCCGTAGGCCAAACTCCACCACCAGAGCCGGAAAGTGAGGAAAGCGACTTTTCGAAAACAGTGGAGAATTCGCACGAAGAGGTAATAATTTGAACTTGGAAGCTTATTTATTGTTTAAGTATTAGGTCTTGTTTAATTCAGCCTGAAAGTTGTCATTATGTTATCATGTTATCAAAATTGGCCCCAGCTCGATCGTAACCCTAGGAATCAGCGGCCAATTTACGCAGAGGATTAAAGCTTTACGCAGAATATGAAAAAAAATTGTTGGAATATATATTAGAGATTGGTCGGAAAAACCAACTATCCGGGTATCCGGCAAATCCGATGTCTATAACGCAGAGAAATTCCAGTCGTAGCTCTCAATAGTTCCTTGACTGACCTTGAGCTTTTTCATGCAGTCAGAGGAACCACGTCATCTTATCGCTGGCAATTTTTTTAAATAAAATAGGGGTGACAAACGAGCACGCAGTTCACTTGATTGAAAGTGAATGCCCTTATATTGTAATGTAGCCCATAGACTATTACATCTATCTCCGATTGAGAATCAAAATTATGTGTTGCCAACCCTGAGGACTTAGATGGAATGCTTCGTTACCAGTAAAAAAGGGTCTCCGGATCTCTACACTGACCATACGAGACACAGAAACATTAAGCTGCTATTTTACGCTGGTATTCTGTGAGAGCGTAGTCCTACCCGGTCGAGCCGACCCATACGTAATACAACCGTAATGTAACCGAAGCATTGCTCTACCGCGCGAAAAGATGTGATCTCCCGAATGCTGCCCAGCCGAGTTTAATACGTCGTTGTCGTTTGAGCTCTTGGTCGAAGTCATATTATTTACCTTATTCGAAACGTCTTAAATGAATCTGTTATAACTTTATGTCTCAGAGGTATCTTAAGAAGTGACAAAGAATCTTTAGAAATCAAAATACACATCGCAAAAACCGTGTATGTTTTAGACACTGCTTTCATGCCAATAAAAAGCTAGCGATGTAGAAGAGTGTTAAAAGCATGTTTCGCGTATGAAGACCACTTACTTTTGCAGATTTTTCTTGTATATACATATATATATATATATATATATATATATATATATATATATATATATATAGATATAGATATATAGATATATAGGCCGCCGTGACCGAAATTCGGTCTGGAGGTCTGGAGGTTCGGTATATATATATATAGTTATGATTTATATACGACTGTATAGGTTTAATATTATAATAATGTCCTCCAGACCGAATTTCGGTCACGGCGGCCTGCCTCAACGGAGGCTAGCCATCGGCGCAGGACAGGATTATAGGCCCCAAGTGTATGCGCAAGCACATGTGCTCTCTCTATTCCCTCACTCTCATAATCCGATGGGACGGTAAATCAACACGACCGGAGAGATATCAGGCGCAGGACCAACGGCTTTACGTGCTTTCCGAAGCACGGGGTGAGACACCGCTAACTTCCTGACTCAGGGCAATTACTGAGAATTTCTTACAGAAAAACTGAATAATTGATTTTTTGGCCCGACCCGGGATTCGAACCCAGGATCTCATGATTAGCAGTCGCACTACTACAACCACTAGACCAACGAGGCAGTTAATAAAGGGTTTAATGTTATATGTCATACACGATATTATTTTAAGAAGTAGAGCCACTCTATGGCATAGATATGGATACCGTGTAGCATATTGTACCTGCAGCACGAATTGATTGGTTCTACTGGGGAAGGACCACACTCGCGCCGAATATCAAAGTAAAGTAGCACAACAATGCAGCTATGTTTCTTAAGGTTAGTGTTGAAAACAGGAGACTTTTTATAGTACTAATCTGGCATTCCGTCTTAATCCTTGTGGCTTACAGCGCATTTTGATTCTTCTGGAATAAACGTAGGTATCTATGAGATATCGGATTCACATATTATAAGGTGAACTGTATACTTGTTTATCTGTCCTACTTAATTATTAATGCCATTTTATTTAATTAAAATACATTTTATCTCAATCCCAATCGTCTAGACGTCATCGGATGACTTTTGGCAAGATATTGATTTAAAGAAGATTTTGCTTATTAACGACAAAGTGCCCCGTTCAGCTAGAATAAGCGTGAAGCTTAACATGCCGATTATTGGTAAAATAGAAAGGTCGCCATCTGTAGAGCGAGCGGGAAAAATTGAGCGAGAGAATTACATGAGGGAGAGAAAAGGTTGACTATTTCCATTAAGCTATAATAAACAATTTAAAATTTACCGTGTCCGTTCATCAATCCATTACAGCCTATAAAACTCTACTGCTGACGGTACAGAAATAGAAATAATAAGACAATAGAAATGAATAAGCGCTCGATTACTTCCAAGACCGATGGCGCCACATCTTACCGTATTATAAACATACGCAATGCACAATGATATCTAATTGTTTCACATTACGTTGCTTCGCGAGTTTGTCAACGTCGCGTGTATCGCGTATTATGGTAGAACAAAAGCGGCAATGGTAATTGTACAATACGAAAAGTAATAAATGAGTTTACAAAGGTAAACATCATAGTAAAGTTTTCATCTAGATGTAAATTTGTTAAAACAATGATAATTAGTAAATAATCAACTTACCGATGAAATGTTATGCCTTCCTTGATGAGTTTTTACAATTGGTTATACTGCAGTTCACTATTATGAATTTATAATAACATAAATTCACGTACGACGTTCCTCGTGCAACTAAATCACAAAATGGTGAATGATGTACGTCACCACATCATAGCGGCGACAGGGATACGCGTCTATGCGACTTCTATTCTCTTATTATTACGATTTCTGTGCCTGACGGTCTTCCCCATAGATTGCCTCATAGAAGCGTATAGGTATAATGTCATAGTTGGCACACTAGCCAGGCGCTTAAGCAATTGAGGCTTTTTGTTATTATTTTGCGTTGATATCAGGTAGATGCTGCTACCCATCTCCTGTTTTAGTTTTACTTTATTACCCCTTAAGACACCCACGGGTCGACATTAGGTAGTGAATATTCTTAGACTCTAAGAGAATCAATTGAATTACAATAAATATATAATCCGCCGCCACGCATGGGGCAGCGTGGCGGACATTTCATTGCCCTTAAACCCTTTCAGAAGTGAGAGGAGGTCTGTGCCCAGTCGTGGTTCGTATATAAACTTTACGTAACTTTATTTAAATTTACAATATTTACTTAAACTGGATGACTTTTTTACTGTATGGAAAAAAAATTTGGGTGTTACAGGTGAACGGAATTAGAAGCCTATGGAACTGATGTTTTATATTTTTTTTATTTTTATTAACGTATTATGAAATTGATTTATCAATAATTACCAAAGTTAAAGTTAAAGTTACAGCCTATATACGTCCCACTGCTGGGCACAGGCCTCCTCTCATTTCTGAGAGGGTTTTAGGGCAAGGAATAGTCCGCCGCGCTGCCCCAATGCGTGTTGGCGAACTTCACATGTCTTCGAAATATTTTTTTTTATTTCTCAGACATGCAGGTTTCCTCACGATGTTTTCCTTCACCACCGAACACGTGGTAAATCAGCACTTAAGATTGCAATTAACAATTTCATTGGTGCCTTGATTGAACCCGGTTTGCTCGCGTATTGTGTAATTTACAGCGAGCGCTAACCATCTGAGCTACCACGGCTCAGATGGTTAGCTCTCGCTAAGTACTAATTGGGTACGTATTATTTTAATGTCGATAGTTTTTAAATGATTTATTTATTTACTTCAAAAATTTTGTTGTTAATTTTTAATACCGAAAGCTTTTTACAAATTAGTACCTAGTATTTGATAAATCAATTTCATAATATGTTAATGTAAAATAAATATAATAATTGTTAATGTCGGTACCATAGGCTTCTATTACGTTCACCTGTCACACCCTATTTTTTACAGACGGTAAAATAAATCATCCAGGATAGTAAGTGTCCTCTTCTGGCTAGGATTCGGTCTCGTTGCCTATCATTTTCTTTTTATTTTGGACGTTTAGTCAGTTTAAATTTTTTGGGTGTAGTTAGTTCTCGTCCGACAAGTAAAAGAGTCAGTGTTTTATTTCCCACTAGTATTTTTCTCCGTTAAGGTTGGGTACAGTTGCCAATAAGGTGCAGTGCCAAGTGATTCACATAGAGTAAGGTATAAAAAACCATCTTATCTTGTCCCATGGATTCATTTGTCAGTCAGTGGAGTGGAGTTGCCTTCAATGCAAATCTTCTCAGTTTTGATAAGTGTATGATATATTTTGGGCTATTGATTATTAAAATACCCATTAAATAGTAGCAACAGCTTTTCATCCAAAAGAATTCGTTGATTTTTGTGAGTTTTGTTTGTATGGAAAATACTGAGGATGCCCCGCCATTCATGCTGCATGCATATTAACGTGGTTATAATATAGTGCCCCTATCTATATTCTTTCATTCTTATTCTGTTTTATCATAATAATATATTTTATTCATATTCCAAATATTGTAATTAAAGTTAGAGAACTTACCATTTTTGAATTTTTATACGTTCCACGGCTGGGCACGGGCATCTCATTCCTCAGAAGGTTATGAAGCAATTTGTTTGCCTCGCTTCTCGGATTTTAAATATCCACGAAATACTTTATTTCTTAAACATGAAGGTTCCTCATGAAGTTTTTCTTCATCGACGAATACTTAATAAATCAACTCTTAAAAAATTGCAATAGTAAAATTCATTTGCACTAACACAGGGTACGAATCCTGAGCTCTTGCCTTCTTAGGTACTCTGAAATTGCTAATTATGAAAAATGTAGGACAAATATTTAGCCTCTGAGCTACCAAGACTTTCAATTCTTTGTATTTTGTTGTATTAAAATGATAGTTTTGATAATATCGTTTGTTATTTTGCTACATTGATATTGGTATTTCTTTATGTCTCTGTTCAAACAGATGACGTCCACGTAGTTAAAGAAAAAAGTGACCTTTAAAAAAAATATTTCAGAGAGACCAGTTCCTGATGAGGAAGTCGATGTTAGTAATTGTTAACATAATAACAACGACGAGCATTTATTAAATGATTCAAATTGACGTAGTACTCGTCTTAGATTCGCTTTTACTTAAATTACAAAAAACTTGTATTACAAATTTCATTAAGAGTATTTATTTTTTTGAATGTATATATAAATTTACAATTCTTATTTTGTAAATCAAGGAAAAAGAAAAACAGAATACAGTAGTATTTGTACGATATTGATATTGCTATAAGAATTATGACAATGTTAATTGTAATAATAACTTATACGATTTAATTTTATTTTTGATAGAAATCTATTAGGTAGATCCATATCTAAATAAAGTATAATCTTTAAAAGCTATTGGTGTATATTATTGCAAATTTAATATTAATACAGCATATTAGATGTTTATTTGTGATCATTATAGATAATTGGACTAGACATGCGTATACACTGTAGAATTTCATTTCATAATATCAATTCACATAGTCTTTGCTACAAACCCTTTATGTTTCATCTTGAAAACAGATTTTTAATTTTTTTTAAATTTTATTAATAACTGTAAAAATATTTCACTAGTTCCATTAATTTCGTCAAAATATTATTATATTGTTTGTTTTTGTTTTGTTTAAGATTTTGTATTTCTGTTTTAGAAAATGCTTCGAGAAATGAGCGCTGCTAAAATGAGCCCTGAGGATACTCAAGAAGGTTAGCTTTTATACTTAACATGAATATAACATATAATGGCGGCAGTGACCACCATTTGCACTTGATACGTTTTCATCATCATTATTATAGTTCCTCACAAGTGACATAGGCCTCCTCCAAAGTACGTTACAAAACATAAAACAAAACACAAAAGTTCTGATCCACCTGTATCTATCGACTATACTCGTACTTGTACTGTACAAGCTAATACACAACTAAATTTGTAGCACTGAGGGATCTCAAATAAAAAAGTATCTTTTTATTTTTTATTTAAAATTTTATTTAGCTTTACCATAGTAAAAACAGAATAGTAGGAAGTCTCCCGCGCCGCGCGAGACTAAAATGCCTACTGTTGCAGGGTTGTCACTATCTTTATGTTTAACAGCTAATATGTTTGTCAAAAAAATCTAGCTTTACATTACAACCAATGCCAAATAACTAAAATATAAGTAAACTAACACTGAACATATGGTTTCAGCTCAGATTTAATGTTTAAAATTAATTTGATCTGATGATTAATGTATTTATGAGGTATGTATTTATGCATAGATATAGTAACAACTAATAATGTAACTTAAAAAGCTAATTTAATTAAACAAACGCATATGTTAATTTATTTTACAATAAGAGAAAATAAAACGAAGGTGATTGCGGAGCGCGGCGGTGGCCGTCCCCGACTCGGTCTAATCTTCCCGACTTAATAAGTGTCGTTGTGTGCGAGCTGTGGCATTCGGTACATTTCTTAGAAGAAAGCCTACTATTTTGTTTTTACTATGGTTTTACCATAATTTTTAATGACATTGAATCGAGCAATATTATTAGTTTTATTAAAATAACGATATAAAACTAACTCAGTTATTTTGAAACAGATGTACGAAGGTCTGATGAAAAGAAAGAAGAGAAAGGGAAATATGAGATTGTTATAATTGTCCATGATGAAAATGGCGCTGAAATACCCTTCGAGATTTATGGTTATATTTGTAACTTTATTTTTCTTACATATTGTAAATTATTGTAGATTAACGTTATGGTAATCTAATTATACGATTTTAAACATAAATTTAAATGAAGAATAATCATCTGAAAACGTGTCAATATTAATCACGTTAGCCATCCGGATTATGAAAGCAGCAACGTACATCAAAATAATAACCAAGATTAGGGTAAACGGTACTCTTGTAAAACCTATCTGCAGTTTTAAGTATATTCTAAAATTCATTTTGCCTTAGGAAGAGTTAAAATAGTTCCACAATAGGGTAGTATAAGAGTATACTCGCCCATTTCAAATAACTTCAGAAAGGTTTTCAGTTTACACATCCATATCTACACAACTCTTACCTAATTCTTCCTTTTTCCCTACATACCCTTACCGCGTAGTATTTTGTATTGTGTATGTCTCTGTAGATTCGTTCAACTTCGCATTATAATCTTTTTTCATAAGGCAAAGGTAAACAGGAGTTATACTATACAATATTTAAAAACCCTGTCCAATCATTGAGGGATCTTTTTGATGTCGTTATGTGGTTCTGTTCATTGAATTTTTTTCAGTGAATAAATAAAAAATACTCTGCGAAAAATAAAATAAAATTTAAATTAATGTGGTAATTGAAATGGGTAAAAATACCGCCACACGTTAAAAGATGCCGTCGTTGTCGATGCCGTTGCCAGATTTTAAAGATTATCTGAAATTTGAAATCAGAAATTTGCAAATTGCAGTACATACTCATATATGTTGTCATTGATGAATGATGTCATGTCATTTTTATATTCAATAATAAAATGATGTCTTATATTTTTTGGTAATGTCATTGCGTTACCTAAAAGACCTTTCGGATCGGACAGGGTGTTTCTTACATATTTAATAATGTTACTAAAGAAATATGTTAAAGATTAAGTTTAATAATAATAAACTCAAACACTAAAAAATCTTAGGAGGATCGAAAACGGATATCGTTACAGAAGAAGAGAAATCTGATACCAAAAGTTCGACATCGAACATTGAGGAAGTAGATGCCGAAGCGGTTCAGAAAATGAAAACCCAACCGGAAAACATTGATGAATTTGTTGCCGAAGTAAATTTTATTGGACTAAAAAACTGATATCAGCAAATTTTTGAAAGACTGAGATATAAGACTAACTTTCAGTAACAACTTTAAATGTGGTTAACATTTTAGAACTTCTTGAAATCCCTGTTTGAATTTATGTTTGTTTATTCTGTTTTTTTTTTAAATAAAATAAGGGTGACAAACGAAATCCATATTTTCAAATGGATATATATATATATACCTTTTGGTAATTAGATACTATGGCCTATAGACATTTACATTTATTCCCGATTAAGAATAAATACGCAGATACGCAGATGCGTTCTTTCTCTGAGGACTAGATGGAATGCCTCGTATCCAGCATAAAAGGTCTCCAGTTCTATACACTCTACATTGCAGTATTAAGTTACTATTTTTCTACAGTATTATGTGAGAGCGTGGTCCTTCCCCCATCGAGCCGACCCATGGGGCTTGGAACAACATCTTTTTGGATTCAGATGTCCGTTTGGGAAATATTTAGCTTTAAAATGGAATTTTTCATTAAAGTCATGTGCGCCTCCCCTCCTCTACCAACCAAACCACTATTTTTGAAATGTGAAAAGTATACACGATAGTAGTTTATATAGTGTTACAACTATAATATAGCTGCAGCATGACTCTACCACGCTCAGTATTTTCATAAGCCCGTAACAAACTTCCCTTCCTTCTTTCCTTCCCTAAGCTTTTGGCATTATATTATAAATGTTCATTTTACGTGTTCAAAAAATGTCTTCCTTTCATAATAGCCCTTAACAGTTCAATACTGAGCATTGTAAAAAGAGTTTTCCATAATAAAATAGCTTGGCACAGAACCTTATGTCTAGCCACTTTCACGCTGCTTTCCATCTAGCTATTTTACATCTTATATAATATATTATATGAGCCGGTATATTGCCTATTGGTGGCTGTTATGTCTGCCTTATTTTTGCTTATATATTATTTAAAACGCTTAATTTATAAAACTTAATTTAAGCCGTAAAAGACAAAACTGTAAATATTTTTTACTTTTTTTTTTAATTTCAAATATATATCCTTGTCGTATTGACCTTCTTATGCAGTGTTTTAAAGCGCGAGAAGAACGACGTGCAGATTTAAAACGAACTTTCGAAGAGATCGCCGAGTTAGTGGACAAGTTTAAAACTGCTTATTACGATTTGGGTTAGAAAAAAATAAATTTTGCCAATTTTTTTAAATTCATTGGAGTGCTTATTAATTAACCATACGTCGTATTGATATTGATTTGTATGATATTTGATTGATTGATATGATGTTCCTTATGACGTTTACCATTTTAAGTCCCACAAAATTTTTTTGCATGATAGTGTATATCTATCAATATTTAAATAATTTAGATTTGAAAACTTTTATATGTCATAAATTCACTGTATTGAATGTCATAAATTCAATTTAAATGTCATAAATTCAGTTTTAAATGTCATAAATTTAGTTTTAAATGTCATAAATTCACTGTTTACCATTAGACTGTAACACTTGTAAAATCCAATTGTAGTTTTTTTAATTAGAAAGAGCAAGTAATAAATCTCCAATCCATCATAAATGTATAGCTTTGAATCGTCGTTTACAAACACTTCCGTTTTCTTTATCAACCAATATTTAACTTTATCCCTTTGATTTTGATGTTGCTACACTTTGCATGGCTTGGAGGATATGCCCATACTTACTTATTATCCATAGTTTCCTATTATCAGTGCTCCAATAATAGGTTGATCTTTCTATTATGAATTTCAAGCCATCAGTCGACTGACAGACATTGATGAAGATCTGATATATTATGTTGATATTATCCCTTAATTTTCTATTACAGCACATTTATAAAAATATGGGCCTTTAAGCCCTAATTTGATCAAACCTCTGTTCTGTTGATGATAAGGTGATCTGTTATTTATTTAAAATCCTAAAAACCTTCGTCAAATATATTATATATTTTTTACAGGAATGGTAGCAGGGCGACAAATGTCGACCACAAGCGGTGAATTTATCGTACAACATGTAGAACGCGAGATCATGGAGAAAGTTGACGAGCAGATCGAGATTTTGCCTGATCCGGACTTGAAGAAAAAGAAGGTTTTTCTGTTTTGTTTCTACATGATTGCATATAATACTTACTCGCATTTTAATATTTCCAAATGGATTGTGGAATCTGTTTTTTAAAGCTATGTGTATATTTAGAAGATCACGAAATACTGAACTTTGGTTTTTTTCTTATCTGTTGAAAAAACGTTACATATTAGGATCTTCTTTTGTATCGTGGGGTCATTTTACATATTATATACGTTGCATGATGACAAACATCCAAACCAGGAACAATTATTTGTAGGTCATACAAATACTTGAACTGTGTGGAATTCGAACCCTGCGACCGTTTAGCCACTGCGATTCCGAGGCGTCAAACAAACAAACAAGAAAAACTAGTACAATATATGAAATCCACCCGTAAAATATTGACACACCATAAATAGTACTTAAAAACTATAGCTATAACGACAACATTGATTTTAGGCAAAACCTGAAGAGATAGCTATGATAAGAGAAATTATTGAAATATACCTGGATGACAATATAGATGTAATTGTGCCTGAAATAGAAGAAGTAGAGGAAGAAGAAGAGCCTATACCCGAGGTGCGCTGATTTTTATCTTTTTTTATTCCTTGCAGTCATTCTGATAAATTTCGAACTACTGTGATTATAATTTTCAAATGATATCGTCATATACTCTATCTCTAGACATGCAAAAAGTGGAGTGGATGCAGGTGGCTAAGGACCGCGCATTGTGGAATTCTTTGAAGGAGGCCTATGTTCAAAATGAACTCGTGAAGTGCTGTAATGATGATGATGATAATGAAACTGTCACGTCCGAACCCAGGAGGATAGGTAGAGATGCGATATTCATGTCATATGCCAATGTCATATGCCAGATGCATCAGGAACATGCTAATTTTATTTAACATCTCTTTTGCTCGTTTTACACCCATATATCTACGCACACATACACGTCAGCTAAAATGCTCATTTAAAATATATCGCTAATATGGTCAATAAACTTTCGCCTAGGGCCCTAAGGTAATTTGGTCGAATTTGCTACTTACTTCTGCAACATAAATTTGCTTTTTATGTCTGTCTTTATTCATTATTTTTACGTGTTTATGATTTATGTTTCACTGAGTTGTAGTTAAACAGCTGAGTTGTTCGAGCCGTGCCAGAAACAAGATACGGATATTTATTAAACGCACCGTTTTTCGTGAACATTTACTCGGCAGCGGAAGCGTGAAGAGAATCAACTACCTCATCATATGACCTCGGGACTGTTGTAAGAGACGACAGAGGAAAATGAAATAGGAGATGGACAGCACCATCTTCCTCACATCAACTCAATATAATAAAACACTCGCCTGCCAAGCGAGGCAACTAATGCCAAGCGAGGCTATGAGGTAATCTCCCAGGGAGGCATTTTAAAAGGTTATAATAGATCCGCTTTTCCCTTTCTACCATCGGACAACTAGGCGATTGGCGGGTCTTTACACCTTTGTTGACAATATTCCACGTATTCGAACCAAACGGTTTACTTCGTTTTTCGTAATGCGTACAACAAAAGAGTGGTAGGAATAATTTGCCGGCGTCTCTCTTTTGCGTCCGATTATAATCCGGACGTCTCAAGACAAGGGTAAAATATGCTTATGCTAGAGAAAGACATTACTATTTACCATCTATAGCTGTGTCACCGCGTACCACCAGGTGGAATTATAGTCGAGCGTTGGCTGATAAGAAAAAAACTTACAATAATTCATCAAATGGGAAAATGAGATTGAAAGCAGACAGATTCGCAATCGCACATTTTTTTAATACAATTTGATAATATTTTTAGATAGTAATTGTCTACGCTGTGCCTGGTATCGGACCACCGGTGGATGAAGAAATTGTAAAAGAGGTGGAGGAGTACGCCTTAGACGTCGCAAAAGTGCAAGCTGATTTGTTTATGCCACGCAACATTCGGCATTTTCTATGCCCACCTTTAGAGAAGTATACTTTCATAAAGATTCATTAAGGGACGAATGTTACGTATAAGACTTCTTCTACTATCTTCTTCCACGTAGAAGAGCCACGCTGCAGCTATATTAGTAGTATGTAGCACGAATGGGTCGACTCGACCGGGGAAGGACCACGCTCTCACAGAATACCAGAGTAAAATAGCAGCTTAACGTTGCTGTGTTTCGTATGGTTAGTGTAGAGAACCGCAGACCCTTTTTACTGGAAAAGAGGTATTCCATCTAGTCCGCACGGGTGACAACGCATCTGCATTTTGTTTCTGATCGAGGATTGATGTAGATGTCTATGGGCCGCAGCATCCACTTACTATCAACTGGTGGACCGTGAGCTCGTTTTTAAACCTTATCCTATAAAAAACTATTATTTTAATAAAGTTTGAAATTAATTCAGAGGTAAGGAAGAGTGTGACTAGAAAACTCAGACTTCGAGATTGATTTATTTTATATTTTTTTTCTCTATACCTATCATCCTACCGGAGCTTAATATTACAGACGCATCTATTTCTTTTAATTAATATATATTTTAGCAAAGAGGATATTTAAATATATTTTGTAATTTTTTTTATAACGGGCTTCAAACTTACAAATTGTATTTAACATATATAAATAAACTGTCACCCAGAACGGTAAGCAGGGACCATATGCCACAATCCTGATTCCTGATACACCTCTCTTGCTTTTTTATATCCTACTTACCTACTAAGAGTTAGAGAGACTACTACTTACTTAACTACTTTACTACCTAAGAGTCGCCCTGTCGGTAAAAACGTTGTGAATTGAATCGCACACAGAGGAGCACGCGTACGCGTAGTTGTTGCCCATAAATTAGCTTAATATATTCGTATTTAAAAAAAAACTGCAAATACGGTTTAATATACATACATATAAAAATAATATTTGTGTATATGAAATTGTTTATCTCAAAATCTATTAGATTGATTACTATTTCTCTTTCAAAGAAGAAGGTTTACATAAATAAACTAAAAAAAAATAGAAACAAACAAAATTTAAATTTTTTGAATATATCTGCTTTTTTCAATTAAGCGCGGCAACTAATAAATTAAATTGACGTTGCTGAACACGACCTATGATATTAATTTGCAGGGCCTGAGGGGTTTAGCTAGTTATTTATATATTTGAAGTTAAATATAAAATTTGGATACTCTTCTAAAAACAACCCTATATATCTAAAAATCCTGTCTAATATGGGAGAGCTCATTTTTGTCCTAGCAGACTGTTGATGGGGCTGGGGATGGAATTTGGCTTGGTTAAGGATATCAATTTCCAACTTCAATTCTATTTTTACTAATGTATCGGTCGTTAGTCAATATACATACTTAGATCTTACTTTCCTATTTATTTTTCTTTATTGTAATTAAAATGTCCTAATATTTTCATTAAAATTGGATTGTGTTTCTTACAGATGCATCGAGTATAATTTTGAAGAGTCCCCACCAAAGAAAGAAGAGCTTCCTACGGGAGGAGCTTTTACAGATTAATTTATTCCTTTGATTAAAGACACCATAATTGTTTCTCTCACAGCAATTTAATGGAAATAAATTATCATGGAAATTAATTACAGTTATTTACTGAAGGCTCCTACCAACTAACACTACGTTCACGTATATATATATTATATATATATATATATATATATATATATATATATATATATATATATATATATATAGAGGTCGACATCATGCCAAAACTTTCTGATAGGCGAGGCCATACTAGTTACCAGAAAAATATAAAAAAATCTAAGTCATGTATTTCAGAAATTATAGTAATTTTTTTCGATAAAATGTACACTATGAGACAGTTTTTTCATTCCTGTTGCTACAAATATTTACTTTTTTGTCATTTTTTTTCTTCTCTTACGTCATCCTGAATAGTGCTTCTGTAACCTGTAATCCTAAACGCTGTGCCGATCATTCCAGCTTGAAAGAAAATGTAATTTTATACCGAACAAAGCTTTCAGAATTAGTTTTTCGCACTACTTCAACTGACCGTCCTGGAAAAAAATTGTAATACGCCAGTTTGGCAAGTAGCTTTAAAAGTTAGCGCATTTAATAAGGATTCTAACGTGGTATAACACTTACTCCATTATTTCTTAGATTAGCCGTAAAAAATTTTTGTTAAACAAAGTCAGTTTTTAACAATTTTTTGGAACTTACATTAAACGGTTCTAGTGCAACCAAAGCGTTCCTAACGACCACAGCGTGGTTTAAATGAGATAGAGAGAGACATACCATAAAGTGTGAGCGAGACAGATAGTGACGCTAATGAGACACAGACGCAAATGAGTGAACAAGACAGAGAGCAATGCTAAGTGTGAGCAAGACAGGTAGTGACGCCTCTTATTGGTATTGGTACACGCACTACAAATCAGTTAAGTACTCTGTGAACTCAGTACGCAACCCTTCTTCGTTCTCATCTTTTCGTATTCGCTGGTGATATCTTGTGTTCTTACTACTTTGGCTTCGTTTACTGTACTTGTTTGCGTTTGATTTGGATTTGGACATTTGTGATCTCTTTACGACGACCTTTGCTTTTCCCTGGACTAACGTGTTATTGTGTATTTGTACCATACCATGGCTGTGTACACTACACAGGAATATGCTAACATGCACCTCATTTATGGGTAATGCCAATGTAATGCCAGTGAAGCCGCTGGTGGTGATGGTGGTGGTGATGGTGATGGTATCGCGAGAGATACCCTAATGCTGATCGCTATCCAGATCACAGAGTTTTTACCAATGTGCACCGTCTACTCTTCTCTGATAGCCGACTGCCAAACCAAATGCATGATGAAGGTAGAATTTCATTACCTTACGAGAAAGTAGTCCTTCAAGCAGTCGATGAGGACCCAAGTTGTTCGGTACGTGGAATTGAGGCCAGCACAGGTGTGCCCAAAAGTATAGCTCACCAAATATTACAAAAAAATGAGCTCCACCCTCATCATGTATAGCGAGTACAAACGTTATTACCTCGGAATAATGAACCTCGGGTTGGGTTTTGCCAAACAAATTCAAAAACACCGAGAAGACCCACAATTCTTAGAAAAAATTTTTTGTAGTCGGATGAACCAACCTTTAAAAAAGACGACTACATGAACCTTCACAATCTACACGAATGGCATATCGAAAATCCACGATGGATGACACAAGATAGAAGACAGTACCGTTTCAAAAAAAACATGTGGACTGGAATTTTAAACGGAACGGAACTATGACTTATAGGGCCTTTCGAGTTGCCAGAAGTTTTAAATGCTGAAATTTATTTAGATTTTTTATACAAAATCATTTACTCAATTTGCTGGAGGACGTGCCGCTTATTATTTTCAGAGATATGTGGTTCCAACAAGATGGTTGTCCAGCGCATTATAGCCGCTTAGTTCCAGAACACCTTAACGAGGAATATTTTTATTTTTTATTTTATTATATTTATTAAGGAACAGCAAAAAGTTACAAAATACAGAAATATCTAAAAAAACAATAACATGATGTATTCACAATAATGTAGCCGACAACGCTATCCACATATTACTTACAATTTTAATTAAATTATCGCGGACGCTGAATAAAAACTTAATAACTAAAAACTAAAAAACAAAGAGCCAAAGTGATATTATTTTTACATTTTTAGTTTTTCATATATAGATCTTTTAAAATCAAGAATATTCGGTGTAAATAAATCTATGTTACCATCATTGAAAAACTCGTTAAGGGAATGCGTCATACGGCGAACTGGCGCAAGCCGGTATTTGTACGACATGTACTGACGGCGAACAAGTTACGAGTGGCACAGCGCTTTGAGCACTTCTAGGAACTACGAAATTTAAATTGGAAACTAACTCAGTACTGCTAAATTTGTTGTTTACTATTTTATACAATGTTATAGCTTCAAGATATTTACGTCTACATTCAAGCGACAAAACACCAAACTCTCTCAGCAATGGGATACGAGACAAGTAAGATTTATGGCATCTATAGTACATGGCACGTAAAAACTTATTTTGGACTTTCTCAATAGCTTCTTTGTATATTTTATAGTAGGGATTCCATATAGGTACAGCGTATTCAAGTTGCGAACGAATAAGAGTTTTATAGAGGTATAAGTATGTGGTTGTTCGTTTGAAGTCAGTAGAAGATCTCATAACAAATCCGTACATTTTAAAAGCTTGTTTGACTATTTTATCAATATGGATGCTTAGTTGTAGCTTAGAGTCCAACTGAATCCCCAAATCCCTTACGTCTGTCACTTTGGCAAAGGACTTTTTACAGGGGGTGTAATTAAAACGGACAATATTTTTCTTTTTTTGTGTATCCGTAATATCCGGACAGATGGATAACGCGGGCTGGTCCGATCTCGTGGCCCGCCCGCTCACCCGATTTAAATCTTCTAGATTTTTTTTACTGGGGAGCTGTGAAGGAAAAAGTATATTCCAAGCCGATTGAAAATGTAGAAGAGCTTAGACAGAGAATAGCGGAAACAGTTGAATTTTGTAATAATGGAAGATTCGCCCGCCTGATTTCACGATCTTTTTTAAGAAGATGTCGGGCTTGTATTGCAGCTCAAGTACGGCAATTTGAACATCTTTTTGTAAAATAAGTAATAAATTTTATCATTAAAAACGAAACTGACTGTCTTAATTTTATAACCATTATTATATTACTTTAGTTTGTATTTTCGTCTGTGTCTCATAAGCGTCACTATCTGTCTCGCTCACACTTTATGGAATGTCTCTCTCTATCTCATTTAAACCACGCTGTGGTCATTAGGAACGCTTTGGTTGCACTAGAATCGTTTTAATGTAAGTTCCAAAAATTGTTAAAAACTTACTTTGTTTAACAATATTTTTTTACGGCTGATCTAAGAAATAATGGAGTAAGTGTTACACCACGTTAGAATCCTTATTAAATGCGCTAACTTTTAAAGCTACATGCTAAACTGGCGTAGTACAATTTTTTTCCAGGACGGTCAGTTGATGTAGTGCGAAAAACTAATTCTGAAAGCTTTGTTCGGTATAAAATTAAATTTTCTTTCAAGCTGGAGTGATCCGCACAGGGTTTAGGATTACAGGTTACAGAAGCACTATTCAGGGTGACGTAAGAGAAGAAATAAATTGACAAAAAAGTAAATATTTGTAGCAACAGGAATGAAAAAACTGTCTTATGGTGTACATTTTATCGAAAAAAAATTACTATAATTTCTGAAATAAATGATTTAGATTTTTTTTTATATTTTTCTGGTAACTAGTATGGCCTCGCCTATCAGAAAGTTTCGGCTTGACGTCGACTTCTGGGACAACCTGTATATACAACATGTAACATAATTAACGCACTTTGAGAAAGTAGTTTGTTCAGAATCGTTTACTAAATCGATTCCTATCATTTTTAATATAGGTAATTTTTTATCCCAAAAATAGGTAGTCAAAACAAACTGAAATGGACCGTAACTTAAGGCAATAAGACTTTTAAGAGTCAGTTTTATTTGTGTTATTACTAATTCTGTCTTTCAATAAAAATAAAGAAAAATGAACTTTATTTCAAGCCCGTTAAAGTCTTTGCGTTCGTGGATTTGTACTGTGACCACAACATTCTTCCGGAATTAGTATAACTAATTTGATAAATAATCAGTGCATAAAAATGTTTAACCAAAAATTCAGTCAGTCAAGTCATAATCATAACAATGTATTATTCATTATAACATAATATACTAATTGGGGTGTCTGAGGGTGTGTGTTAATTACGTTACATATTATATATATATATATATATATATATATATATATATATATATATATATATATATATATATGCGAGCACTATGCAGGTCTAGGTTAAGAGACCAGCATCACTGCGACCTAAAAGGTCTATTGTGATCGCTGCTATGGCTATATGTTCACGGCTAAGCCCTATGTCTTCAATAATTAGAAGGAGTTGCTTAGCCGTGAGCAATTTCACTTCTTCTGGGTGGAGTTGATAGTTTCCCAGATGAGTGTTACGTTTGCGCATTAGGGGTCCGCAATCAGTTAGGATGTGTAGATGCGTTTCTACCGTTATGGAACAGAATCGACACATCCTTGAGTTGCTTAGTTCCAGGATGGACATGTGCTTTTTAAGACAACAGTGTCCAGTTAGGGCTCTTGTTAGAATGCGCAATTTATTTTTACTTAATCCCAGGGCTTTACGATCAAAAGCGAATTTACAATCAAAAGCCCGGATTAAGGTTTTAGAATGTTTTAAGCCTGGTGTGTCAGACCAGCTCTTAAGTGATTTATTGTAATAAAGAGTTTCAGGGGTCAATCGGGCTAGGCTTCTTGAGATTCCACAAAATGGCTCAGGTCCAAATTGTGTGCACTTTGAGCCCTCCCGTGCAAGTTTTTCGGCAAATTCGATGCCTACAATACCCTCGTGACCCGGAACCCATCTTAAAACGACCCTGTTGTTACATCCCAGGGCGTTTAAACGGTTCACGCAGTCTCCAACTAGCT